GTGTCTGTGTCTGTGTCTGTGTGTGTGTGTGTCTGTGTCTGTGTGTGTGTCTGTGTCTGGGTGTGTGTCTGTGTGTGTGTGTGTGTGTGTGTGTGTGTGTGTGTGTGTGTGTGTGTGTGTGTGTGTGTGTGTGTGTGTGTGTGTGTGTGTGTGTGTCTGTTTGTGTGTGTGTGTGTGTGTGTGTGTGTGTGTGTGTGTGTGTGTGTGTGTGTGTGTGTGTGTGTGTGTGTGTGTGTGTGTGTGTGTGTGTGTGTGTGTGTGTGTGTGTGTGTGTGTGTGTGTGGGTGTCTGTGGTCTGTGTTGTAGTGGGTTGTGTGTGTGTGTGTCTGTGTGTCTGTGTGTCTGTGTGTCTGTCCGTGCGTCCGTCCGTCCGTCCTTCTGTCTGTCTGCCTGTGTGTGCATGTGTGTCTGTCTGTCTGTCGGTCTGTCTGTCTGTCTGTCTGTCTCTGTCTGTGTCTGTCTGTGTCTGTCTGTGTCTGTCTGTGTCTGTCTGTGTCTGTGTCTGTCTTACGGTCTGTGCAGATGTGAGAGGTTCCTGCAAAGAGCACCGGGGCCTCGCTAGCCTCTCCCAGGTCAAAGGTACGGTAGGTGGAGTTTCCGCTGGCAGCTGCCACACGGTTCAGGTTGAAGTCCGTGGCCACCAAGCCCGAGCCACAAAGGCCAGACGCTGTGACCATCTGCACAAGGCTGTCGCCTTAGCAAACTTGGCAATTGTTGCAAATTGCGGGCCATCCTCAAATGCCGGAGGTTGCCCACCATGGGCCTCGGGCCCGGACCGTCCAGTGAGAAGCCGTGCCTCGCATTAAATTAGGTACTGGGCCATTGGAATCAAGTTGGGCCGCAACAGAAACTAAAAAAACAAACACTCGAAGGCGAGGGTCGCATCCACAGAGCAGGCTATGTCCTCCAGGCGTTCAGCACAGTATGGGACGTCCCCCCCTGGAATTGCAACCCAAGAACTGGCACAAGAGCTTGTGCATGGTTTTGGGTCAACCTGACCGTCATGCATTTGAATCAAGGCTAGAGTCCTTGACACACTCATAGCTGTCGCCGCCGAAAGCCCCACGAACTTCAAGAATGCCAGCCTCTTCAACTTCGGTGGCACTTTGGCAGGATGAATTGCACAGATGAATTTCAGGGAACAAAGGCTCTTCGACAAGAGGGCAGGCACGGCCACCGCAAGCCTCGTGTGTAAAGTCAGAGTCCGATGAACAGTTTAATATATCCTCATCGGGACCATCGTAAGATGCGCAATAGCCTTAGAACATTGCGCTAATCTCACGGCTGCAACCTAAGCATCTCTCTCAACTCAGCTTGGTAAAATGGCTCGTGTCTGGGTCGAGGACAAACTGTAAAAAGCATCGGCGTCGTGAAAGCGAATCCGAGTGAAAAGGTTCGCGCAACATCCGACCCAAAGCCAGCCGTCGAGGGAAAGTCCGCCACCGCGCTGGCAGACCCGCAGGTCGCTCCAGAAGAAACAACTCGGACTCGATCCTGGGCTTCAACACAAAGGTTCAAGTTCTTCAAAGTCCAAGAACTGCCGTGCATTCAAAAGCTACGCTTCTGCTACGCTTTTTGCTTCGAGCGTCCGCGTCCCGGAGATAAATTCCAGCAACATTCACCTCGCACGGGCTCCCACGATGGCAACGGTACAACTCTCCACCCGTGGCGCCAGGGACGGTGAGCGTTGCAGCTTGATGTGAGAAGTCTTTCTCGGTACAACCACCAAGAAATGGGAGGCGATCATCATTGTCAAACCTAGGCGCGCGCACGATGCGTCACGAGGCCCCAGCATGCATGACTCTGGAGTATTTCCGAGGGATGCACAGGATCAGGACGGATCAGGACCGCTGATGGCCACCGGACTACTGTAGAAGCCAACTAGTGCAGTTTGGGTAGCCTCGCACAGTAGCACAGCGTATAGATACCCTCAATCAAGACGCGCCCCAGCTCGAACGACCGTGAAAGGCCAAATCCCGACAACGAGCTTGTCCGAACTGCCTGCCCAAAGCGGCATAAGCTAGCAAGACCAAAGAACAGTGAGTGGATCCGGTGAGACGGGGTTGTGGAACTGCCTTACGATTCAGGACCGAACCTCATGAGCATTAAACTCGAATACCTGCCGACTCCATGTGAAGTTGACTGTCATGCCGGCTCGAAATGAAGAAGCGCGGGGCAGGCAAAAGGCACGCTGCCTCCGCAGCTCCAGCAAATGGAGGTGTGCCCATCGCACAAGCGCTCCCATCCGCGCTGTAACTGACCAGGGACACCTGCATGAGTTTGGACTAGCGGCTAGCGAGCCTCAATACTCCAACAGTCGCAACCCTGCTTCTGCGGGCGCAAAAGAATCTATGCTTGGATTGGGGGGCACAAGGGCATTGCAACACTACTCAGCCCAAATAGCATGCGCCTAAGAGGACCCTTCCCGACTTGCATCTCCTTGCCTAGCTGGCCTAACGTCAGCATACCTATATCGCATCTGCTGTGGGAGGCGGGCTTTCTAAGCAATGCTCCTGCAAATCTGCCTCATCGTCCGGATGCAAACCGAAGCCAGCAAGCGTGAAGCTGCAGCGTGTGTTCTTCACACACTCAAAAGCCTCACCACCAGCAGCGCCATGTACCTGTAGCGGATCCAAAGTGACAAGCAGAAACAGGTCTAGCCCGCGCTCGTTCTGATGCTCTACAAGCGACGACAGGCAAGAACAATATGGACCCTGAGTTGCAAAATCACTTAAGCCCGACGCAACTCCGATCCGCCACGTTGCAATGAGAGCGCCCGCAGAGTGCGTGAATTCCACGTCACTGTCACAGGCCGTGTTGCCTGATGCAGCATCGTAGTGATTCGTCCTGTAAGGCAAGGCATATCAAGTTCGCAGAGCACTGGGCAAGCTCTCAACAGCTTTGCTCTGCACATGGCCAAGCTGAGTCTTCCCAGTCCTTTCAGAGGTGTCGTAGCTCGCACAGTAGCAGATCTCGTACCGGCCCCCATTGCTGGCGATGCCCAAACTGAAAGCCTGCCCAACAGGTATGAACTGTGTCGAACTTCAAACAGAGCTACAGCGGGGCCCAACATGCTGACTTTTGCCTGCTCATCAGACCAAGCATCCCCATTGCCAGCTGCCTGAAAAGTGAAGCTCCGGGATGTTGGGTTGGTCAGTGGGCTCTTAAGGCCAGCTCTTCAAAGCGACCCAAAATCTGAAGTTTATACCCCCAAGTCCCAACCTTTCTTTCCTCAACCCGGGTCTTCAAACTGCCGAACAAGTGAGTGAGCACTTCCCGTATCTGCCCTCGTCCTTCCATCCAAATGGTTTCGGAACAGATTTGCCAGCCTCAGGCCGTGGATTGGCAAAGTCGGACACCGCGGCAGCAGCGCCACAACGGCTGCCAAATGCAGTGGGCCTTGGCGGCCCATAGGACACTTTACCCAATCTGGCCACAAACAATGGATGTATTGGAATTGCAAAGTTGGCAAATCTGCGGAAGTTAATACGGTCGTTCCCGGACACGTCTCTCTTGGTTGCAGGTACCAGGTGGGCCAGCCGGAAACAGCGCTCTCTCGGAATAGTTGCTCCTAGGCAGTTCTAGGCTTGTGGTTTGAGTCCAGCTGGCAACCAGGGTGCTGTACATGGTCTCCAGTTTGAAGCATGTCCCCAGTGACATTGAAGGTGCAGATGGTGCCCTCACAGGTCATTTAGGGATGACTCAGAGCGTTAGCTTTGTAACCTGCTGGGTGGGTCATTTTGGTACAAGCTAAGGAGCATGACATTCGTTCGGCACTTGAGGAACATGCCCAACTCAAGCCAGGCTATCTAACTCACATATCTGAGCCCCGCGGCAGAAACCAGCCCGGTGCAAACTCACTTGGTCACCACATGTCACCACTCACATATTAGCCTTTGAGGCTGCGGACCCAGGCAAGAGCCAGCTTATGCCAGGCACAACTTGCTATGCAGTACGACACTCAAGTCAACCACCTTGACACAGTGAAAAATGTCCGCCGATTCAGCGCCGGAGACACGGAGTAGACCTGCAGGGACAAGGCATCGAGCCAGGGGACTCTGGAGGCTCTTGGGCCCGCACGGCACCTGCATCCTGGCAATATTCTGAATTGGAATTGCACTTGGACAAATCGGAGTCGTCCAAGGAGTCATAGGCTGGGCAAAAGCAAACCAGGAAGCTTCCCTCCTGGCAACAGCATAGTGTCCCCGCAGCTTGTTTTGAGTTCCGTGTGAAGTTTTCAGGGTCTTTGGTGGTTCTCAAAATGGCCATAGGGGTTTTACTGGATTGCTTTTTTTGGACAGGTTTTTGGCGAAGAAGTTCGATGGCGTTGATGAGGCATCGAATGGCTTGCGCGTTTTGACCAGCAGCTCTACGCTGATCCTCAATCAGAAACGATTGCTCAGGGCGTGCCCCGCTTCCCAATGCAAACAAAGGTGATCTTTCTTGGAAAGCATGCGCCCCGATGGCCTGGTAAGCAACACCAAATTCGAAGACGCGTTGGGTGGAGGAGGCCATTAACACACTCGCCGATCTCGGACGGCAGCACTCAAAGCTGGTAAGGCCACGCAAGTCGAAACTGACAGGCATAATGCATTGCGCAGTGCTCGCTTCATGACAACCTCCACTATATTTCAGCTGCACAAGCCTTCCCACAGCTCATGGATGAATGCCATGACGCCGCCTATTCAACCTACTCCGATTCTTCAATCTCGACTGCCACTGAGCTGCATCCGCCCGTTTGGGAAGGTTTCGACAAAGGAGACGTCTGCTCCACATGTGCTTCCGGCCGGCAAAAGTCTTAGCAGCAATGCACATTCCTTTCCTGATGCTAGGCAGTAGACTATGTACCACGCCAGCTTTCACCTTTGAATGCTCACACCCAACAGGGACATCATACTTGGAACCACATGGCCAACGGCCGACCGCGCCGAAAGTCATCAACAAACTCGCGAGTACCAATGCCAGGCAGCTGGACACGATGCGACTCTGCAAGGGCCTAAGCATCGCACACAAGAGCACCATGTAATCATCAACGATACAAGTACCACCAAGAATCAGAAATATTCAGAAGTCAAACGTTCTCAGCAAATTTTGTAGCCGAGGCCACGGTGCCGGACACGGCGATGGCGCAGGCTACGTCTTTGACGCAGCGGAAGCTTTGGCCAGGCCTCTCTGTCCCAAAAAAGTCCCAGCACGTCCCCCACTTTTCATGGACTTCTCGTTCACGTCTCTATATTCTCTATCCAATCATATTCAGACTCTATGTGTGGCTTGGAAGGCCCAACTGAGCACCCCCACGTCGCCCCGTAGGTCGATGGGCAGAACGCCAGTGTGTTGCCGAGCACCAAGGCCACAAGCAGGGCGAGCCTTGAGACATCCAGCATCATCGAATGATGTCTGTCTCTCACAAGGCAGAGCCAGGCCGAGGGTCGTTTTCATCGCAGTCTGTACACTGTCGCACTCGCAAGATCATTACCCGGCGGCTCCAAGTCCTTGACACTGCGCAGACTCACACGACATCTTAACTCATCTTATGTCCGCCTCTGAGCACTTTCACTCGACCTGCCCCGTCATCCATTCGGCACCGCTCCTCGAAGAACATGAAGGCTGAGGGCCCTTTCGCATTGCGCGACATGGACGAGCTGCAAGACGAGTCCAACAAGCATTCGTGATTAACTGAGTTACGCAAAGTAAAAAAAAGTAACAAAGTCCGACGGACCACAGTCTTAAGGCTTAAGGGAAGCGCAAAGATCGTACGATGAGAACGGCTCAGACACACCCAATCCCTCTAAGTTCTGGGCTGTGGTGTGACAAACATTCCTAAGGCATGGCCAAAATCATGTCCAATCTGCCCTTGAATGGCATCAGCTGACGGAGGAATGGCTCACCAACTTGCAACTTCAGCATTGGACAACTTGCAGTTGCTTCATTCTACTCCAGGCTCCTGGGAGGCTTTTGTGTCCGTTCATGTGGCTAACCGGCGGAGCTTTCTAAAAATGAAGGAAAAGATGTGGAAACCTGTGGAAACATCCCCTCCCTTCGCAACAGGCCCAGACCCGCTCCACATCCCGAAGGCCCATCTCCACAAAGGCCTGCCGTGGATCGGAGGGGGCCTCAGTGGAGATGGCAAAGAGGTGTTGCACTTCACTGAAAGTCTTTCAAATCAACCTGGCACCACATCGCTCCGAACATGATACCTACCCATGCAGATCATGCAGCAAAGCAGAAAAAAACCTGTTGGGACAGGCCGGCGCATGGCTTTTGGGGTTACCCCGACATGCCGTGATGTCACTCACCATGCAGAATGCGGTGGTGCAGATGGGTTTGACACAAACATTGTCCCTGAGCACACTTCCAGGGCCCCAACTCTGGAAGAACTGCAACCCTGACCAAAACGAGAAGAAGTCAGAGATCAAGCCACAAGCATGGCATGACACAGCATACGACATGGGCAAAGTGGAATGCGGCTCCTGCGGTGCACTGCGGGTGGCCGAAGGACGACAACCACGACGACTACTACTAAACGCCCAGTTCCTAATTGATCACAGGGGTCTTGTCAAACACAAAAAACCAAGGTAGCTCTACCATCCACTTGCAAGTGCTTAATTATTGAGCAACCTGGGAAGTTGAGTCAGTGGCACCCATGCTCCG